TTACAACTCTATAAAAATGAACAACTTTTTATTAAAGATTTGAATAAAACTTTGCTTTTAGAAGTAACTCTTTCTTTTTCTTTATATTTAATTGAAATAAACTTACAAAAGAAATTTCAAATAACTTATCAAATGCTACTGAGAGCTACTTGAATGAAAGACTGAACTCTTACTTTAGTCAATGCTTATTACTTAAAAAAGTTTTTAAAAACAGAAACTTTTTCATTAGAACAATGAAATCAATTGAAAGGACTAGTTACTAAATATTATAGTTCTGTTTCAAATTGTGTATATAGGTTGATTACTAGGAAAATCAAGTTCTGGAAATTTTTTAACAAAATTAAGATTTTTATTGCATTTTAGTTTTTAATATTATTAGATTAAAATGTATTAAGCTCTTAATTTAAGTCAAAAAATTTTCAGAATCTGATTTTTCTAGAAATCCTCCTATATTAACTCTATGAAATATTAGGTATGAATCAAATTCAACTATTAAAATATATATTGTTGAGAAAATTTTATACACTTCTAAATCAATTCTACTGGTTTTTAATTAATAAAATTATAGATATTTAGGTAGGAGTTCAAAATTTAGAAGGGAAGGATTAAAGTCATAATCTTTGACTATATCTTAATTGATTATATGATTAAAATGATTAACAAAGTTAATGAAATGAATAAATTAGATTAAGTTGCTAAAGTGATCATTATTGATCTATTTAATATATTAGATAGATTAGTTATAATTATTATATTTATTAATTATATCTTAGTTAGTAGAGTATTTATATTTATTTTATTTATTTATTTTATCTTTTATATTATATTTATTATATTATATTTTATAGTATTTTATTTTATATAAATATCTTATATTTTCTTTAAGTTAAAAAGTAACTTGAGATAAGGTTTTAAGATAAACTAAGAGTTTAATAAAAAAATCTTATAAATTCATTTATTATTACCTTTTGTTATATCTTTATATAGGTATGATTATGATAAAGTCTTATATTTAATTCAATATATTGAATTAAAAATTAATCATTTAAGTTTACAGATACTAAACCAACAGTTATTTTTATAGAGAACCTATATTAAATAAGGTAATAAAATATTGAAAAGGCATTATAAGACAACTTACTTATATTATAATACTTTTTAATATAAAAGTTTACCTCAAACTTTAAAAATATATCTTGCTAATAACTGTTTTAAAGTTCCAATAAAAACAAAACATTTATTTTTAAACTGACATATTATAAGAATTGAAAATTTCACAAATAATCAAAATAAAAAATAAAAATATAATTATAAAACTAAATAAAAAAAAAATAACAAATTTTTATGAAAACTCAAAGATCTCTTCAGAAAAAAATTATGAAATTAATCAGGTATATATGAAATCTTTTGTTATATATAATATACTTTAACATATAATTAAAAATCCTTTTTGTAGAATTTTTAAAATTAATATATCTAAAGTATATACTGTCTTTTAAAAAACAACTTTCTGGTGAACTTTTTAACTAAGAAGTAGCTATTGTAAATAAACAAATTATTAAAAAATTACAAAACTCTACAAATTTAACATTATAAGTATTAAAAATTATTTCATTTTTGTTTTATTATTAATTAATATTAATTCATTTTTTTTAAAAAAAATTTAAAATATGTAATGGATGGATCATAAATCAATTTAGAATTTTCTCATTCATATATCTTTTTATAAAGAATATTTGTAGTATTTAAGAATTTATTAGATGAAAATCATACCAGTTTCTTTTAGCAAATGAAATAAAAGAAATAATTACAAAGATAAAGATAGAAAATTTTTTATAAATAGTAATAAATACAGGATTAAATATTCAAAATGCTCATAATATAATTACTGGAAAATATCAAAATATTCTTAATATTTGTTGTATAGCTTATACAATCAATTTAATTTCTAAGAATATATATAATACTTCTTTTACAAACTGAATTTAACTAAATTATAATACAATTATAACTTTTTTTAAAAAAGTTATCAAAGAGGTAATGATTATATTTTTTATTTAATTTTTATTGTAATAAATACTTAAATTTTTATATTTATAAGTTCAGTTTAAAAAAAAAGGCTGAAAATTATCAAGTAAATGAAGGTAATTTAAAATAATAAATTAATACTTGATGGTATATAATATTATTTGTATTGATTCTATTAAATGTCATAAAAAAGTTTTAGAAAAGGTAAATATTAAAATTATTATTTATTTATATTTATATATTTAATTTCTATTAACTTTTAAAATTATTTATTTTATTGCAGTTATGATCTAATTATATTGATCATTTTTCACTATCAGTCTTATCAGTTTTATGTTTTCATGCTTTTTTGATGAATGCATATATTAACATTTATTTTACATTCTATCAAAAAAGCAATTTTAAGATCAGAATTATAGTTTTCTATACTTGTAAACAGTTTTATTGAATTAACTTATCTTAGAGTTGCAATTAATAAATTATCTCAAAATGATTATCTTATTTTTCAATATTAATATATTGCAATTTTTAACAAACGTTACATTGATTTATCAATCCAATATACTTATTGTGTTTTTTTTTATCCAGATTATAAAGGTTAGTATATTAATTTATTATATTTAAAAAAAATTTAAACATTAAAATCTTATATTATTTTTTAGAAATTTGTTAGATACGAGGGATTTTTTGGAAACTTTTATTATCTATAGAAAGAAATTTGAAAAAAAAAAATTGTGAATGATGTGAGTTAATGCATCAAATAAAGTTATTTTACACATATCAAATTCTATTTGATATTGATTTAGGTAAGAATGAATTACCAATTTTTTGGTGGATTTCTATAAAAGATAATTTTTCCAAGGGAGAGGACTATTTAGTACAACTAGCAATTAAACTATTTTCACTTACATCTCATACAGTTGGATGTGAATGGATTTGATCTGATTATATGGTAAAAGGAGAAACCGATTAGGGTTAAACAAAGTGAAAAATATGTACAAATTGTCAGCTTATCATACACATGCTAAGCAAGAGCTGTTATATTATAGTATCGAAAAATCAAGTGAAGAAACTCATGAAATTTGGTTAATACAAATTTAAACCCAGATGAAGATCTTATTGAAATTATGGATGATGATAATGATATTGATATAGAAGTAAATTCATTTGGTGAGGAAAGTAATTTGATAATTGGTAATATCTTGAATTTAAATGCGAACATATTCATTAATAATTTGAATTTAGGATAATCAAAATGTAGTTGAAAAAGAAAATGATGATATGAATGGATCCAATTGCCGAAGCTAACAAAATAGTTAATTTGTGTAAAATGTAAAGTTTATTTTTAATAATATATGATCGATGCATTTAGCATGATGTTATAATAAAATTTTGAATTTTCGATATAAAATCTTAATTATTATTTTAAATTTAACGTTAATAATAACTGTTGTTTATCTGCTTAGCATTAAATTTTTTACAAACTTACATATATATTGTTAAATTTGCTAATTTTTCTATTTAGAAGATTCAAATTTGCATAAGTTTAGAAGTTACAGAAATTACGGAAATTTGGAAAAAATTCGAAAGTTACGGAAATTTGGGCAGAATTTTAGATCTAAAAGGCGAAATATTTCGTCAATCACAAAACAATTTCGCCCGAAACATTAGGTCAGAATCAATTGGTAAGTTTGTCCATAGTTAATATAGCTATTTAAAGATATAAAATTTACTTTATTACTCTAAATCTTCTTTGAAAAGTCATATAACTTTGCATCATGTTCAAATTCCCGTTAAATAATCCTGAATATTGCGCAATATGATGTAGGGTTACCATTTGAAAAAATAATTGTGTATAGCGATTTGTATTTATTATATCACATTATATTGTAATAATAAAACTTTTTAATTAAAAAATCATATCACTAGTGCAAAAAATTTCTCTCGCTCTCCAGTAATGATTATCAAACAGATATTTTTTACGCTAATAAAGGGTATTGCAAATAAAAGTGTTTTATTGGCTACCGTGCTATTCAATTGCTATTAAATTTGGTTTATTTCCAAAGCTTTCAAGAAAGAAACTGTAAATTCACTTGCTGCAAATGTTATCATAGAGCTTTATTCTGCTGTCCAGATTGCCAGGACTTTATCAATAAAGAATGAAAAGAAAAAAATTGTTAGCATTTTATGATGATGAATCGACTCAGTACCTCGACTATATCAGGAAATCTTCGAAAGGTTGAAAAAATGGATTACAAGTATCGATTGATATTATGAAGTTGTCGTGTATTTCTAATTCGACTCAAACTAATAGAGGAGGAGGCGAAGATAAGTTAAATAATGAAGTTCATAAATATTTTCCTGATGCCATCTCTCTTACTTTGGTCAAGAAGAAGATTGGAATAGCCTCAAAAATACAGTATATGATTTATTTAGTGATATAGGCATAGATAAGATTCGGAGAGCTCGCTAGTATTTTGTCAATTCCATCTCATCATTTGCGATAAACAAACTTAATTGCATAAAATACTGGATGAATAATAGTGGTTAAATATATTAATTACTTTAAGTTCGCTCATTTATGTATTGTTGCTTTTAGCCTGTGATCTTCTTTTCTCATAACTGATTAGACCATAGATAAATATGAAAACACATGAAAAAGAGATATTTCATGAACACAATTAAGAATTTAGCTTTTCGGGTGGCCATCTAATTCTCAATAAAAGTATTTTCTTCGCTTTTAAATAAGATTCGCCCACATTATGCTCGAAATATTTTAACATGTGTAGGCAACATTTTTGCATTATACAAATGTCAAAATTTTTCTTGACAAATTAAAAAAAAACATTTTATTTTAATGAGCAAGTCCAATTAATCCTAATTTTAAAATTTTAATAATTACTATATACAAAAATAAAGTTGATAATCTTGTTTTACTAATCCAAGAAATATTTTTAAAATTTAGACGTACACTAATTATTAATGGCTTCAAGAGCCTTTTGCAATGGAATTTTGTATATTTTTAGATCATCAGGAAGCGGATTATTAAGTCGCGTTTGTGCTTCCATTAAACTTTGTCTGTTACTATGAAATAAAGTATTGCTATTGTCTCTCATCTCTCGTAATAGCTTGATATCGTCGATTGTCATTTTAACATCACGTAAAAAATCCTTTAAATTTTCAATACAATTAAGTTCTTCATCTGTTAATTCCATTCCAGACTCGAGATAAAAAAGAGCAGACTCTGCAAGACGCCATTCTTTTTCTCCTAACTTGTCTATAACCTTATTCAATAAATCTTTTAATCCAATCTCGATAATTGCTTAAAAATTCTGTTCGATTTACTTTAATCTCTAACTGATCCAACTGAGTCCCGGTATGAATCATTACTGCTGTTAGTTCTTCCACAACAGATATAGCTTTTTTCGTGAGTTCTGTCTGTTCTCCCACTATTTCATAAGTAGTTTTTATGATATCTCCTAGTTTTCCTATGTTTACTATACATTGATCTTTATCGTTCTCACTGATATTATTTATAATATCTTCAAAACACTCATTATTTTCATCCTTTAGGACTTCAAACCTTTCCTCTAATTTACTACCTTTTCGCTTAAAACTTGATAACCTGGTATGATAATCATTCATGGTGAAAATAATTTTTTTTTTGCAGATGGAATAATATGAAAGATAATAGATAGTGTAAGACGCGAAAAGGTTGTTTATGACCGTTTATCAGATCATTATTTATTATCAAACCAATTTCAACATTTTATAACGTGTTACTATAACGTGACGTATTGTACTAATAAATTCAATTCTTAGTTGACCTCTGACCCTTTTTTATAAGAATAATATTTCGAAAATAAATTTTATCATACATATTTATATAATTATAAAACTTTCGATCATACGTTTAATCTTTTCCAATGTGGTATTTACTAGTCAGTTTTATAAAAATATTAAAAGATATTTTTTTAAGAATTAAATTAATTGTATTATAAAAAGTATATATAAGCTTATAATAAATATATTTTAATCTTCTTTAATTTTATCAAAACTAATGTTTAAAATACTTTAATATTTTAGAAATTTTAATCTTATTAATGATAAATTTTACTAATTTTTTTTTTATTTTTACTATTATAATTATAAAATTTCTAAACAAATTGTCAAAATTATCATAAACAAATTTAATTATTTATTACCTAATTAAATTCTTTTTTATATAAATTATATATTTTAGTAATTAGATTAAAGACAAATGTATTTATAAAAATTAAAAATTAAATTGATCTATACTTATGCTTCGGATTTAATAATAATTTTTGAATCAGTTTCTTAATACTTTAACATTAATTTAAAACTTATTAAATTAATTAAATGTAATTTTTTTTTATTATAATAATATTAATATTATTATATTATTACATTTTATATTATTTTTTTAATAATATTTATTATCCAACGCTATAATATAAAAAGAGTGCTTATTTATATTGAAATGTGAAAATGTGGGATTTAAAAGACACTACTGTACTTGTGTTGCACAAGTGTTGATCACAAAAAATTCTCGGAAAATTTTCCCAAGCAAATAATATAAATATTCCTTTATTCCTTTATTATTTTCATTATAAATAAACAATAAATAATTTTTGAATGACATGAAAACAATAACTTGGAAATTCAGCAGAGACTAAACCTTCAACGTCGACAAGACTACCTTGGAACAAGTGGCATTATATGACGTAGAGACCACAGAACTAACTGAACTTTCTTTTCCGTTTAACTATAGGTGCAGAGAACTTGCATGAACATATAACCTTCTCCTTCGAGATTATCATCAAGAAATTACAAAGTCAAGGAGTCGTGAACATGGTTTCTCTTATCATTTACATATTTACATATTAATGAATAGATTACTGATTTGGGGGAATGTCGTACGCTTCGGCCGTTATATAGACTACGCTTCCTCTCTTTCTCTTTTGTAACTTTGATAATTTATTTACTGAATGTTATGTATTTCGTTTTTCATGTATTTCCCGATTTGGTTCTTGGTTTTTTCTCTTTAAAAGTAATGTATAATAACCCTTCAATGTATTGTTCTTGGTGTTCATTTGAAGAGTAATTTTGGTCATAATCTTCTGTTGCAAATAAAAAAAAAAGTTGGGGCTGTTCGATCCAAAACTACCGCAACATAATAATTACAGTATATACACTATATACTATATTGTAAAAGAATATAATTATATTTAATTAACATACATGTGATCTAATTAATTAATGCGTTTGTAAAAATAAATTGATTAAATTCGTTTTCTGTACCATTATGTTAAATGTAATGCATAACGTTTCTCCACTCCATTGTGCGACGGAGATCAACTTTTTTTTTTTTTTTTTTTTTTTTGAAAAATTTATATAAAGAACTGGTTTTCCCCATAGAATCTGATCGAGTATCATAAAGAATAAAGCATAAAGCAATAAGCGCATATAAGGTATTAAACAGTACATCAACGATAATGTCTTATAGTCAACGCAGTTAATTGGAAGATTAGTACAACCGAAGATTAGTACAACCAATAGAATTCCAAATCAAGCGAATTGGTGAATAAATTTAGAAAAAAGCAACGCAAAAGCAGCCACATACAACATTTTTTTTCCACCAAAAAATATTAGGTTCGAAAGATATTTGACACGTAACGCGTTTTTACAGTCGAAAGTGACGTGAATGTAATTTCCGGCTGCCTTTGCTTTTTTACTGCTTCAATTAACCGCAGTAATACAAGCGATATTCATCCTGATTTGGCTTGAACTTGGTTAGCGGCACGTGATTTATTAGACCAATCCTTAGTCACATGAGAAAGGTTTTCGAATATTTTAATAGAGGACTATTAAATAACTTTATTGAATTTTCTCTATCTTTGATTGTCAAAATCCATTGATATCATACAAATCAAAAGTATAGTCTTTATACATTAAATTCAAATCTTGTTGCATCTTTCAAATGGATTCATATTCTTCAATACCTTCACTCAATCAACAACAACAACAGCAACAGCAGCAACAGCAGCAACAAGTTGGATACAGTAATAATCCACTTGGTTTACCTACAAATCCTGCTTTGTTGCAACAGCAATCACAGACACAACAGTATGCAAATAATTTTGTCTCGCAACATTCTATGAACCAACGCGTCTTGAATACAGGTATACAACAACAACAACAACAGCAGCAAATGACGATTGAAAGAAACTATGGAGCAATGAACAATCCAAACTTGCAACAGATGCGCGGGCTAAGTGGTGAGGGTGGAAATAATATGACGAATCAGTATATATTTCAAGGTCGCCAGTCATTATCAACTTCAGCAGCTGCTCCAATACCTTCGATTTCAGCTTTAGGAAATCCAATGTTTAGTAATAATATGACTACTAACATGTTAGGTTTTCCATCACAGAGTAATATCAATGGTCTTGGATTGGATATGTTTCAACAACAATCACTTAATCGTGGGATAGGACAAATGATCGGTCAACGACCGAACATGTTATCACTTCAACAACAACAACAGATACAGCAACAACGTCAATATCAACAACAACAACAACACCATCGTCAACAACAACAACAACAACAACAACAGAATCAACAGCAACAACAGCAACAACAGCAACATCAATTGGCGAGATTGCGTCTAGCACAGCAAACACAACAACGCCAGATGATGCAACAACCAAGACGACCTGTAACGCATCCTCAGCCTGTACAAAACCTTCATCATCGTTCTTCACAACAAAAACCAAGTTCTGAGCACTCCAAAAAGCCTCCCGCTGCCCCCAAACCATATGAACCCGCACCAGATCTCACTTCTGTTCAAAAGAAATACCTAGAACAATATGTTAGAAGAGATACTCTTTATCAAAAAGCGTTAGATATTCAACATAAAAGGCAAATGAATGTTATAGCCGAGAAACGTAAAGAAATAGCTCATGCTGATCTAATACACCAGACACGATCATCATATTTGTTTGGCACAGGATATGGAGGTTATGGAAATGGTGTTACCGGAACTCGGTTTAGGATAGTCTACCCTCATGATCGAAAAAGGCCTAAAAAGACTAAAGAATTTAAATTGTAAGTTTTTTAATTTCTAAAAATTTTTGTATTTATTACATGTTGGGTATAATGATTATTCTATTTAGTTCTCATCAACAATTACGAGAAATAGCTAAAAATGAAGATACATTAGTTCCAATCAGGTTAGAAATTGATGGAGCTGATGGCTATAAGTTACGAGATACTTTTACCTGGAATATGAATGGTACATCTTTAAGGGCATAAGTTATGAAAAATTAAAATGTCACGTGAATCCTGGTAACATTATTTATTTGCATGGTTAATTTTATATTATAGAAACACTTATTACTCCTGAGCATTTTGCAGAAGTTCTTTGTGATGATTTGCATTTTCCCGCGGCAACTTTTGTACCAGCAATTGTTAAACAGATGCGTGATCAATTACAAGGATATATCTTGCATCCTTTATCTTTAACGGATCAATTTCCGACAAATAATGTATCTACTTCATCAACGGATCCATCCGAGGATGCATGTGTAGTCAAGGAAGAAAATGATAATGACAACAAATCTAATACACTAAATAATTCGGAAGAGTCAAATATCAACGAAGAATTGAGAATCCTAATAAAAGTGAGTTTATTATAGGCTTTAATAATTCAATTTGAATAAGTAATTAACAACTTTTTTTTTGTTATCGCAGATTGATGTTACAATCGGCAATATTTCTTTAGTGGACCAATTTGAGTGGGATATTAATTGTCAGAAAAATGACCCAGAACTTTTTGCAGAAATTTTGACAGCAGAATTAGGTCTAGGAGGCGAATTCAAGTATGTCAAAGCGTAATTATTTTGATTACAATATTTATGTTTCTAAAACCATAGAAACATTCATACTCCAGAACGGCGATAGCGCACTCTATTCGTGAACAAGTTCAAATTTACGTTAAATCTCTGATTCTCGTGGGTCATCCTTTCGATGGCTCTCCTGTACAAGATGATGATTTACGGCAAAGCCTTTTGCCTCCTGTAACAAATATAATTCGAAGAGAAGATGCAGTTGATCAACATACTCCAATTCTTGTGGAATTGACAGAAGCAGAAATTGATAAAATTGAAAAAGATCGTGAAAGAGATGCCAGGTTGAAAAAATTATAATAACCTCTATTTTTATATACTTGAATCATTTATAATTTACTCATTGTTTTTAATAAATAGACGCAAACGTCGGCAAACTCGTGGAAGGCGTGGTGTTATTTTGCCAGATAGGGAACCTCCTAAGACACATAGAACCTTACTTCATAGCACAACTATTATTCCTGACCCCACAGATGAAAATGCGTTTATTACCCTAATTTCATCTGGAATGCCGCCGGTCATGCGTAAATCAAGTTCTATGGGGTATGATAATTATTCAGCGATTTCTGAAAAATCATCCACCCCATCTCCTGGTAAAGTTCGTGGACGTGGACGTGCAGCTGGAAGTGGTCTACGTAGTAGTATAACTGCAAACTCTCCAGATATCACTGATATAAATAGTACAGGAAGATCTGGCTCAGTTGGACCAAGTCCACAGGGAAGAGAATTTAGAGACGGTACGAAAAAATCAAATCGAAGTGAGTTGGGTTACCATTTTATTATTTTTTTAATTATAGAATATGCTTTGTGAATTATTATTATATGTTAACTTGTTATCTTATTAGGGGGCACAAGCAAAGAATCAGAAGAGTGGCACTGTGACGGTTGTGGTTGTTTACAAACAGCAACACCATTATTGCGTAAAGGACCTAATGGAGAAAAGGTATTTAAATTTAATTCTACTTGTTAAAATAATTTTTTTTACACGCATTTCACTAATTTAAATTTCATTATCGATATAGACATTATGTAACGCGTGCGGTAAGTCCGTGGGTGCAATAAATTATTGGAATCATCCAAAAGGTTTTACCACATAACTTGGCCGGTTTTTTGTCATTTTAATTTGTGTACATTCACACACGTCGAACTTTTCCTAATCGTCAGGCCTCTACTTTCAAAAGAACAATACCCTGCGGCCGATTTCCCAAGTTACGAATGAGGACGATTTCAATTTGCCTAAGTTACAAGAACCTAATCAATTGGCTAATTCGGCTTTTCCAGCAAATAAAACACTTCAATCCTCACAACAAGATATCCCTTCAACATTAGATCAATCGTTTGATTTTATGGTCAATGAAAAACAACCTAATTCATCGACTGAACAAAATTTAATTTCTAAACAACATTTCGAATCAACAGATAATCAAAATTTAGCACAACCTCAAGGCAATAATCTTAGTATTTCTGATTTTTTGTTACTGCACCAATAATAACAAATGCTAATATATATTCCCATACCATTTCACATCCGTAAATGCATCATATACTATTGTACCAACCGCATATACAGTTACTTCTACTAAATCACAATCACCTGTAACAATTCCTAACGCACCATTATCAAACAAACCTGTAATTTTTTCACTTTAAATTTTTTATTTATTGAAAATCTGACTTTTATTTATTAAATCTTGGACCATCAACATAAAAGATGATGTTTTCAGTTTAACTCGTTCAATATTTATGACGTTAATAGCCAATTTTATAATAATAGGTCATTCCGGAATGGATAATTCAGCAGCGTGAACAATTGCTGCAGAAATATCCTCGTGACCGTTTCGATATTATTCAAAAGCCTAATAATCCTAATGAGCTCCGTATTAAATGTCTCGATTGCCCACGCAGGCTATATCAACTTGGAGATGGACTTTCATTGAAAAATTTTGAAATCCATTTAAAGAATAAACAACACCGTACCAATGTAGAAAAACGTCTGAATCCAGATTGGGCTGTTCATATAGCTGAAACTGGCGGTATTAATGATAGTGTTGGTACTATTTCAGGCACTATTGATTCTAGTGAATTGTCGTCTCCAGTTTCAGGTACTGGTGATCCATATACTAGCTTTAATACCGATAATAAAACCATGAGATTAGCTGAAGGATTAATCACTTCAAGACCGGACTATATGTTACAATCAAGAGAAATATCATCCTCAAGTTCACAATCCTTTGAAATATCAATGGGAAGAGAAAGCGGGAAGTCTAGTAGAGGAGGTATGAAAATAACTAGCGATATAAATAATGTTAGTGCTGGGTATGAAATGACTGCCGTGGGAGTCTTCATCGATAATAGTAATGGTATTCCTCAAACACCCCAAACAGAAGCTTTTCCCTCGAAATCGAAAGGTCCCTTATGAAATTGACTTTCAAATCGAAACAAGTGGTCAAGGTAATTGGTAAAATTTATTTTATACCAACGAAAAAAAAAAAATTCTATTCAATCAGACATCTTTTACAACAAATTTCTTTTGCATAAGTATATATTACATTTTCTTAATTGTTATTAATCAATTTTATTTTAAAAAGATAAAGTTTGTAAATTTAGAATAATTTGTCAAAATATTTCACTTAAATCACGTAAAATGGTTCTTAAATTATTTTGAATAAATCTATTTAAATTCCGTACATATTTCACCAAACCAAAGATGAATTGATTGGAAGGTTGATTATGTAAAGTACGTCGTTTTTGTAATTGTACATTCACTTTGCTGCCTTTTGTTCATAATTAAATATAAAATTATAAATCATTGAGATAATCTTTAAGTTCATTATTAAATTTTATATTTCACATTCTACCAAATCCAGGCACATAATTCATCTAAACATTCAGATGTTCTTCGACAAAATTTTCCCAAGTAAAATTTTTTTTACTAATTGTATGGTTTATGGAAATTGCAAAGTTGCATGTCGTAATGAATTGCGTATCGATCTCTGTGCGTAAAATTCGGAACAATTGGATTTATTTATGTTTTACAGGTATCATTTGCTCATAAGAAATTATGTATCCAACCAATTGATCTGAAATTTTAGAAGTAATTTAGGTAATTTGAATAAGAATGAAATAAGTACAAAAAATAATGTTATTATTTATTTCACATAATCACAGAAATTCTCTCAGTATACTGAAACACAAAATATTTTTTGTAAATATATATATAAATTTATTTGACAATTCCGAGACAAAGATTAGTTAATATTTTTCTTGAAAAAAAAAAAAAAAAGTACTTGATTAACATGTTTTTTAAATTTTTATAATATCTAATTATTATTTACTAATTTATCATAAACTTAATAATATAGTTTTATTTGTTATATTTATATTTTATGTTTAAAATTTAGTTTTATTATTTTTTATTTTAATAATAGATTATAATCAATTTGATAATTTATTATAGAATTATTACATTTATTTAAATTAATAAAATCTTATTTTTAATTATAATATAATTTTCTATTATTTAAAAGATAAAAAATTATATATTTTTTGTTTTGATATATATATATTTTATTTTAACTTGAAATTTTCTAATTAACTTTAAAAAAAAAATAATTATAAATTTTATTATAAAATATATAAGATTGGTTTCAAAATATTTTTTTATTTAGAAAACTTATAAATTTTTAAAATAAAATTTTAATGTTTTATCTTAAAACTGTTAAAAATTTTATACAATATTAATATTAATTAACTATATAATATATTAAAATTTTATTAAAGTTTTTAATAATTTAATAAATATGACAAATTTTTAAAATTTAATTTTATTATTATTTTTTAATTTTACTTAAATTTTATTTTATAAATATTATTTTTTTAAAAAAAATAAACTTGAATTTATATTGTTAAAAATACAATAAATTTTAAATGAAATTATTTAAAATTATTTTGTTTTTGTAAATATGATTTATTTCATAAAATTAATTAAGTATTTATAAGATTTTAGATTTAAATAATATTACAATAAATAAAATTATTTAAAATACTAAAAAGTAACTTACCTTAATTAAAAGGTTTAAATTATATATTTAAATTATAAATAAAAAATTTAATCTAAAAAATTAATATTATTAAAAAGAATATTAATTATTTATTATAATCTAATAAAAATTTAAAATTTAATTAATAATTTATAATACTGGTCAAAATAATTCAAATCAACTAGAAATTAGATAATCAAATTTAGGCTGATTTTAATACTATTTATAGCTGATTGGTTATATTTTCCAATTATTTAAATCACTGCTGATTAACGCTTATCAAATAAAGCCATTTGATATTAATTTAAATTTAAATTCAATTATACATTAACTAAAATTAATCTCAATTCAAAATCAATTCAGTATCAATTCAGAACTTAAATTTGATTATAAATTAGTTTATAAATTACTAATTAACTTTAATTAAACAAATAATTTAATATCAATTTAGAATTTAAATAACTATAAAATTAACTTTAATTTAACAAATAATTCAATATCAATTTAGAATTTAAATAACCATAAATAGTCTAAAATTGATCTCAATTCAATATTAATAAGCATATAAAATCAATACATTTTATTTAATTAATTTATTAATTATTAAAATTTTATTAATAATAAAACTTAATATAAATTTATAAAAATATAATAAAATATTCTTAAAACTTACTAATTAATTTTTTATTAAAAAATAAGCAAAAAAAAATAATATAATAATATAATAATAAAATATAATTCATTTTCTTCTAAAATTTTTTGAAATCAAATTAAATATTTATTATTATAATTATATATGAAGTTAAAATTAAATTTTAAAAATCAAAATATTTTGACTTAAAGCTTATGGTTAAAATTAAAAGTTAAAATTAATTATAATAGTTAAAATCAATTATAATAATTAAAATGCTTTATGATAGTTAAAATTAAAAAAAAATACTTTTAAAATATCAATAAAATATTTATAATATTATATTAAAATTAAAAAAATAATATTAATATTATTAATATTATTACTATTATTACTATAAATATTTTTATTTTATATTGGAAAAGATCAATATTCTTTCCTAATAATACTAATAACTAACCTTAATAAATCTTAACTAATTCTAACTAATCCTTTTAACTCTAACTATAATAAATAGATTTATATGGTAAATAAGATTATACTAATTAAAAAAACTAAGTCGTCTGAATAAATAGTAAAACAAAAACTTAAGAGTGTGATACAAAAAGAAAGATATATATATTTATAGATATAGTTATAATATACTTTATTAAGAGATTAGCATCTTTAGCTTATGCTATAAGAAATAAGTTTTTACCTAATTCAGCATAAATTAAATGTAAATTGCAGTATTAATTTATTGTAGGATTTACTAATTCAATTCTGAAAATGAATTTCATATACAAATTATATATGTTAAAGATCACAAATTTATAGAATATGATAAATCTGTGTAATTATGTAAGTGATCATATTACACATAGAACTGATTGAGTTTGAAACTTGTATTTAGAGAGCTGGCCTATTATGGGTAAATGTTACATTGTCTGCAAGAAGATCATCTCCAATAACAGGTTATGACAGATCAATGGTAAACAGTATAATTTAGATTGTACAAGAATTGTAAGTTACAAATAATTTCTAGTTAAAATACTATAATGCCTATAATACTAACTAAAATTTAAGAGATCTGAATTCAATTATTAGAGTGATTTTAATAGTCTAAACGTAATAACTATGTTAGACAGCTATCCTAAATTAGATTGTTAAAGACTTATTTTTCTAGTAATTAGTCTAAATTCTATCGTATTATAATAGTATTAATATTAGCTATACAGTATTCATTTGATATAGCTTATCATATTAACTAGTAATTAAGTAATTTAAATCAGCTTATAAAATATTAAGAAGAGATTTGATTTTAAGTGTAATAATATATAAAATATATTACATCCTAATTGGGATATTCAGACAACTGATTATTAAAACATTAAAAAAATTAATATACTATATTAGTATTATTATTATTACTATTATTATCTATTATTATTATTAATTATTATTATTATTATTAAAATTTGTATTTATTAATGTATTAATATCAAAATTATTACAACTATAATCAAAATTTACTGGTTCTTTAATAACTATTCTTACATTTACTTTTAATATTTTTTGAAATTCTTGATTATTAAAATCAAAATAATTTTTTATAATTATTTCTTTATTTATTGCTAGTATTTCTTTTTTATTTTTATTAATATCATTTTCATCATCATCATCATCAATATCATTATTATTTAATTAAATTTTGTAATATTTAAATTTAATTAATTGCTTGAAAAAGATGTTCTTTAGTAAAATTTAAATTAATATAATTTATTTTTGTTTTTGTATTTGTTACATAATAAGTAAGTAATTTAGTTATTGTTTTCATTTATTCAATATTTAAACTATAATTTAAATATAAAAATAATTAATATAAAAAATTACTTTATTTAACACTTTAAATATATTTATTCTAAAACTGAAAAGACTTTTTCACAATTAACATTATATGTATTATAGATAAAAATGACATTGCAACTAGTTACAACAGTAATAAATAAGTATTATATATTTGTAACTAGTTGTAATATTAACAAAAATTGAGTTACAACTAGTTACAACTGGTAACAAATAAGCATTACATGATTGCAACTAGTTGCAATCTCATATTTAGTTATAGAAAATTTTTTTAATACTAATTTTAAATAAAATTATCCTTTAATGTATCACTAGTTTTATATTATATACTTCTGATACATATGAAATTTCATAAAATTTTATTTGGTTTTTATAAGCTATAAATTGATTTATCAAATAATTAGATAAATTTTCTCTATTACTTATAGAAATTCAAAATTTGATGGCTAAATAGTAAACTTTTTTAAAAACTACTTGTTTAAATCTTTTTTTTTAAATAATAATAATATTATTAATATATATATATAAATATATATATTAAAATTTATTAAAAATTATTCAATATAATAAATATAAAAGATAACTCAACAAATAAATATCAAAATCAAATTACCTCTAATATTTAAATTTTTATATAAAATAATCAAAATAAAAGGTTTATTATCTTTTAAACTGTATAATAGGCAAATTTACCTATAAACATAAAAAAAAAGTATTGATTTTTAATAAAAAATAAAATATTAATATTAATAATATAATTATTATATAAAAAATATAGTTTAATATATAGTTTATTAACTTTATTAAAAGAAATTTAAGTTTATTAAAAAGTTTTTTAAATAATTCAATTTTTAAAATTAATTTTTGAAAATTTATTATAATAATTTTTTAAAAATTTTCTTA